ATCTATCTCCTCCCTTCAAAGTATATTTTGCACACATCTTCCAGGGCACGTTTGACTTCTTAATAATTCCCAGCAGAGCTTCATCCCAATAGGAAACTCTGGCCATGAAACTTCAACAAACACATCCAAAAAATATGCCCCTTGGTGATTCTTCTATTGGGTATGAGACTGAGGGAGGGACTGGTACTCGTGGCCAGGGGCACTGAGGGGCAGTGTTTTAGAACCATGCAAAGATGATTCTTAGAGCTTGCAGGAGAGAAGATACTGAACCATCCAAGCCTCAGATGCATGTCTGCCTTAAAGGAGAACAGCCCTCCATAAGCATTGGCTCCAAAGGTCAGTTAACGCCATCAGAGGGCCAACTCTGCTTCTTGGTAGAAATTAGAGTTTGGGGATTTAAACAAGATCTTTATGTTACGTTAGAGCTTTGGGGAGTGTGTCTGTATATCTGACAGTATGTCTATGCGGGCATGTCCTTGCATAATCAACTTTGCAATATTATTATAGATTTAGAAATGTTTTGATGTTGATGATGCTCTTGATATGTAGAAGATGATATCCATTGAAGCTAAAAACTGGAGGAAGGCAGAGAATAATCATTTGTTTTTCAACATGAGGAAGGTGTTCTTTCTATGAAGGACACAGAAATGTCTACTTGATTAAAAGAGATGGAGCAGCGTGTACTTTCAGGAGAGTGGAGTCGGGAATTTCCCTCAGGCTGGGGACTCTCTGAGGTCAGAAGCCTATTTTATTGGGGTGGATCTTCTTGCTCCTATTGCTGAGAAGTCCTTGAGATTTTCAGTTTGTTCTCACCAAAACAAAAGGGAAAGAAAACTTACAAATAATACTTCTGTGTTTTATTTTTCTTCTGTTCCAAAGAGACACATACACACACAGGAATTCTTTCTTTATAACCTTAGCCAAATAAATTCTCCCAGCTTCAATTGCCTCATCTGTGAAACAAAAGATTTTCCTCACAGCTTTGTTGTCAGTATTAAATAAACTATAATAAGTAAAAGACCCAGCAGAGCACTTCGATTCATGTTTGCTGTCCCCCTTCTCCAACGGCACTTGGGTGGCCCTAAATATGATAATTTTTACACCATTTGGTTCTTGAATATGCTCTGGCTTTGAGTTTCACAGTGGCCCTAGCGTTGCTTTTCTTCTATTATCTATGTTGGTCCTTCTTATAATAGCTTATAAACCTAACCATGTGAAGTATAAGAGACATCAAAGGAGATCTAAATATAACCTAGATTATTTTTTATAAGTCCGTGGTGGTTTGGATACTCTACGGTATTGTTAAAATAAATAACTGTTATGTATTCAACACAAGATATATGTACATACACACACATATTTATAATAAGGCAGTATCCTTCCATATTAATTTATTTCTTAAAGGTCACCATCAAATACCAGCTTTGAGACTTTTTATAAACAACTTTTTCCTATAGATAAATCCTACTATAGATACTTCTCTGCAACCTGCCTCTTTTGCATAATACATCATGAACAACTTTTCTACCACCACACATAAAATTACTGAAACTTTTCAAAAGCTTCATGAAATCTAGTTGAAGAGACTTAACAAAAATGCATTTAACTAATACTTTATGATTGGGCATCTCCAACTGTGGTTATTATACATGACAGTGAAACAAACAACGATAAACATCGTTAGAATAAGTCATACTCCATGTACGTGTAAGAGGTCAAAATACACTCTACTGTCATGTATATCTAAAAAGAACAAATACAAAAATTAGAATTTAAAAAGAAAAACCTGTAAACATGTTTGCAGGCTTCATTCCGTTCTCCTAGTCTGACCATGGACACCAGAAGGTCAGAAGCATGGTACCTGGCAGTAAAATCAGTTCTCAGGGCAGGAGAGCAGTGAACCCCAAACCTCTTGAGATGTGTTCCCAAGAAGGATTTCAGCCTCACCAGTTCTGTTCAGGGAACACTCTGCACCTGAAGTCCAGGAAAAGGCTAGGGAGAGATCAGATCTTTGGCTTCAAGGCTAGAGCCGCAGTCTTTACAAAGACCTGAAGTTAAACAGTGGTCCCTGTACAAACCTGCCTGACGTAAGACACGGTATTTCCTGGAGGTGAGTCCCTGGCTCACCTCTATAAAATTGATTCTTTCATTTATTTTGCTGTTTATTACCTCTTCCGATACCAATATTCAAGCTTTTTCTACACAGAACAGAGAGATGATACAATTTTTCCTCTGGTTAATCAAAATGGGTTTTTTTAGGGATTAGGGGATTTAATTCAGTGGTAGAACACTTCCCTAGCAAGGGTTCAATGCTCAGTAATAAACAAATAAGGCTAAAATAATAATAATAATAATAATTATTATTATTATTATTATTATTATTATTATTATTATTACTGACGTATAAAAAGGGTCCCTTTGGCTTCACAAGTTGTTGGTTATTATATCATTTATATTTTTGAAATACTGTTAAATTGGGGGAAAAAAATCACTATCCATTTTGCTTTGTGTATGAGCTCTAAGAAGTTATGGCATTGCATATTTTCTTGGTAAGAAGTGATAAGGAGTCTTAAATACTCCGTGAACTGATAATATTATCAACCACTAGGTATCAATTCTTCCCTATTGTGAGTTTCATTTCACCTTCATCGATGAATGAAGTATTTCAATTCAACTCAGTCAGAAAGAAAAAAGGACCATTATAGATGATTGGACAAGGCCATTTGGGGGCCCGGGAAGACCATGAGCATAGGTATGGTCCAGTGGTCAGCAAAGTCCAGTTTGGAAAGAACACACTGTCCAAGGGAGCAGCAAGAGGGGGGAAAAGTACTTTGGAGCCAGGTAGAAAAGGGGCACTGGGGTCAAATGCCAGAAGTTGGCTGGAAAGACATTTGTACCCTTTTAAGCAAAGGCATTCAAGGCCTCTTGATGAATCATGAAGCATATGAATATTTACTAATCTACGAAACATTTGCTATTAAAACCCAGAGTGACTGCAACTCGTTTAAATACCTGCAGTAGACCCAAAAAGTATATGCCCTAATTCAACCTCGCCAAAGCAGGGTCTCCAAAATGCCTGTGACCTCTACAAAGACACCCAGAGTAAGAAATATGACGGAAAGGAAGCTGGAGTAGACACGAGTCTTAGCTGATTTGTGGCTATAATATTTTACTTTTGAAAACTATAAAAACATGTGGTCATCTGAGCATGTTGCCAGGGCTCATCCCAGAACCTTGGCAGAGGCTCAGGCAGGTGAGGGGCCCTACAGCTCAAGCCCAGTTCCTATCAAAAGAAATCCACATTAATCCTCCAGCGTAACCAGAGCTACTCCTCTGGCACCCTGAGGCCTGAGTCAAATTTTTCAACTTTTTAGAGTTCCATAATATAGATACCAAAGAATCATTACATAAACCACACTCAAAACGGAAGTGTTTAATTTCTAGACCATCCTGACCTGTAACTATAGTAATGCCAGGTGATCTCTGTAACAAATGAACCACATTTCCATTCAAAATGTTACCTGTAGAGATGAGACGGAATTTTCCACTTGAACCTAGAATGGCAAGAAGAGGAGCCTGAGCTTCAGGGAAACTAAACAGGCTGCGTCCTACTCATAGAAGCCACTGGAGGTAAGAGCCCTGGGCTGTCATCTAAGGTGCCAAAAGTCGAGAGTGTTTCAACCTGGTGGCTCTTTCTTTACACGTGGAAATTTCTAATTCTTTGGATGTTATCGCTACCCACAACCAACCAGAGACCTTCTTCTTTCCACACTCTGTTAAGAATCTTCCTTATGTATATATTATTTTACTTTTCTGCTTCAGTAAACATAATAAGTAACAATAATAATAGTATTTATTGAGAACTTTCTGCTCATCAGACAACTAGCACATGTGTTTTGCATATACATTCTCTTATTTTATCCCCCAACCTCTCTGGAGGAAAAGTGTGATTATGATGACATCCACAAAAGAATAAAACTAAGACATGACTAAATAATTTGCCCAAAGTTACACAGACAATAAGGAGTGACTGGGATTGAGATTTGAGATCTGAGTCAAGGCTTTTGGATATTAAGCACTTGGGTATTTTTAGCAGCAGGTCTCCAATGATTTCCCATTTTCTCAGTCACACCGTTATGTAGTAAATCAGAGGCATCATTTAGAAGATGGAGTTATAAAGGATACTCAGGCTGCTGCCTTGGGTCATTTCTCACTATTTCAGATCATTTGTCCTGGGGGAAGTCAGTTATTAAGAGACTGATGGAGAGACCTACACAGGGAAGAACAGGGACCTGTTACCAAGATTCACACCAATGAGCACAGAAGTGGATCTCTCAGTGAGTCATGCTTCAAGATGACTGTAGACCTGGCAGACATTCTGACTGCAATCTCCTGAGAGATCCTGAACCAACGGAGCTGTTCCACTTTCCTAATCTTCAGAAACTGTGAGAGAAAAAAAAAATTGTTGTTTTAGACCTCTAAGTTTGGAGTCATTTGTTGAAACGCAGCCATAGATAATTTATACAAGATTCCTACATTGTCTCAGGACAATTGTTCTAAATATCAATACAGACATATATATAATACTGAAGGTATTTATGTCTGAATTCAGCCTACAATAAACATAGCTAAAATGTATGGAAGAACATCAGATATGCTTCTAGACTTCCTGCATGAGTCATCTCCTTTAATGGTCTCTTTATTAGCTCAGTTGTTCAGATGACTATCCAAAGATTAAACATCTAGAGAGCAACAGGCCCAAGATCTAAAAGTGGCCATTCTGGGTTGCAAAACCCAGTCTCTTTCCCACTACCCTAAACTGATCTTAGAAATTCTTGATCTCTGAAATTTTTCTTGCCAGTGCCAATCAGCTTAAAGTTAACTGTCAAGAAACACACCTGGCTAGCTGAGGTTTGTAGTTACTTGAGGTTTAACTATGATTAAGCAATGGACAGAATGAAACTGTGCCTCGTCGCCAGATAACTGAGGACAACATTAGGGAGAAGAGTTGAACGTTAAGGCTCCAAGAGCTGAAATGTGCGGGTTCCTTAGGCCATATTAGGGTTACATGCTGTGCAGACAACCCCCCCTCGCCCCCACACCTTCAAAAGGACTTGAGATCACCAATGCTCCCATTTCACTGGTGAAAGACAGCATCTAGGTGCTTTAAAGACTCCACTATTGCTGGGTACACTGTCACACACATGTAGTCCCAGCTATTAGAGAGGCTGAGAGGGGAGGATCACAAGTTCTAGGCCAGCCTGGGCAACTGAGTCAGACCCTATCTCAAAATAAAAAATAAAAATGGCTGGGGATGTCACTCGAGGGTAGAACTTTTGCCTAACATGAACAAGGCCCTGAATTTTAAAAATAAATAAATAAAAGAGCCAGGCACCGTGGCTTGGGAGGCTGAGAAAGGAGGATCGTGAGTTCAAAGCCATACTCAGCAATTTAGTGAGGCCCTAAGGCAACTTAGTGAATCCTGTCTCTAAATTAAATTAATAGGGGGGATGAGGATGTGTCTCAGAGGTTAAGCGTCCCTAGTTAGTTCAATCCCCTGTAATAAATAAATAAAAGTGTACTATTTCTCCATCATTGTCTGAGGTTGGCATCAAAGCTCAAGTCTCCCAAATTAGGGTCTCTCTACCATGTTACCTCCTTTCAGAGTTCAAATACAAACAATAAAAGAGCCCTTTATGCATTATCTGAAAAACTGCATGGGTTCTGATTTTCTTTTTTTTTATTATTATTATTATTATTTTTCAAAATATTTACTCTGAAGAAACTACATAGCCACTTTTTTAAAACATTTGCAAGCAATTAAATCCTCTTGAGTTATTGTTGGATTGATTAACAGATGGAAGTAAGACTGCAGAATTAGCTTTGTGTGGCTTAAACGTCAAAGGAAAGAATTTAGGAGGAAAGTGAGCTCACCACAAGTTCTATTCTGGAAAGAAAATAGGAGGAAAAGTCCTGGGGGGCCCAGAGAGCTCCGTGGTGAAGAGCAGGACCAGGGCTGGCCTCCGTGTGGGCAGGGGAGGGTACAAAGGCATGTCAAAGACAGCGCAGCCAGACAGACTGTCCTTAGAACCGTGAAACAGACTTGACTCAGTGACTACCAACGGAAGGGGAAGCAGCCGAGCCCTGTTGTCATTGTGAAGCAGCGATGTGGGCATTCGAAGGGACAAAAGAAGGCCAGGGAGAATAGCAGGTCAGAGTCAGGAGGTAAAAAAAAAAAAATCACAGAGGCCTGGTGAGCGCAAATGCGATTAGGCAGGCAGGTCTGGGGCAGCGGTTCTCAAAGCCAGGATCAGGCCCCCCTGCAGAGCCCCTGCAGGGACGAGGCAGAGAACCCAGCCTTCCTGACAAAAGGCAAAGAAATGGCTCGCAGGTCCAGGAGAAAGAAATTCCCGAGGCTTTCAGAGACACTTATGCACAATTGTGAGCTCTTTATAGTAAATGCTTTAAGAAAGGGAGGTCAGGGCCCACGGTCAGGCTTTTCAGTAGAAGACACAGTAAATTCTCCTGGCCGCTTGGCCTTCTTGGGCAGGCATTTTAATGAGGATCTGGGGCCATCCCAGGGACACGGCCTTAGGACCTTGCGCAGCTGAAAGCCATGTGTCATGATTGGGTCTTAAATGTGCCCCAGAGGCCCAAGGACTGCAGGCTTGGTCACCAGCCTGTGGCACAGTAGGGAGGTGGTGGAACACTTAAGAGGAGGAGCAGAGCAGAAGGGGGCAGGTCCTGGGGGCATGTCCTGGAGGGGGATGTGGGGACCCCAGCCCTTTCCTCTCTCTGTTTGCGCCCTGGCTGCCATGAGGTGAGCAGCGGCCTCTGCCCCATGCTACCACCTTGAGGTAATGTCCCCGTGCTGCCACAGGCACAACGCCACAGGCCCAACCACCACAGACTAAAACCTCTGAAACCAGCCAGAATGAGCGTTTCCTCTCTTTGAGTTGTGTAGACCCAGGATTTTGTCACAGCAACGAAAGCTGACTCACATACCATGCTAGATTTTGGTCTAGTACAATTGCTTTGGTCTGACAGTTCTGCAGTTCTCAGGAGCATGAGGAAATGTTGTGGGGTGATGAAAGTATTCATTATCCTAATTATGGTGGTTTCTCCGAGATTAGATAGATGATAGATAGATAGATAGATAGATAGATAGATAGATAGATAGATAATGTATGCACGTATATATAAATACACACACACACATATTATGTATCTTGATGTTAAAACCCATCAAATTCTATCCTTTAAATGTGTGAAGTTTATGTAGGTAAATTACACCTCAGCAAAGCTGATTTTAGAAAGCAAAAAGAAAGCCACAACAGGCAATTTCACTTTGAGCAATTAACAAAACCACTGTATCCAGACGTGTATCAACAACCCAAAGCGTTGTACTTATTTTAAACTTATTTCACACTCTTTGAAACAGGGTGCAAAGCAAGGGAAAGAGTTGAATTGGGATTTGGAGGAAGTAAAGTTTGGTAATAAAAGTTTAAAAAGTGTGTACCTTTGCATTATGTTTTAGACCTTTTTATCCTTTGGCACATCTGTTCTTTAAAAAAAATAAAAATAATAGATTTTACTTCTTAGAGCAGTTTTAGGTTCACAGAAAAACTGAACAGTCAGTGCAGAGAGTTCCCATGTACCCGCTCTCTTCACCACCACCAGTTTCCCTTGTCATTAATAAACTCTTTCATTAGTGTAGTACATTAGTTAACAATTGATGAACCAATATTGGAGTGTTATTATGAACTAAAGTCCATAACTTACATTAGGGATTACTCTGTTGTACATTTCAACAGGTTTTGACAAATGTGTAATGTCATATATCCATGATTATAGTATCATCCAGGATATTGGTAGCATCGATTACAGTATCATAGGCAGCTTATTAGAGCATCAAACAGGGCAGTTTCTCTACCCTAAAAACCTCCTGTGCTCCACCTATTCACCCTTCCTATCCCAGCCCCTGGTGAGCACTTACCACTTTATTGTCCCTACAGTTTTGTGTTTTTCCGAGCATGTCACATACTTGGAATCATACAGCTTGTACCTTTTCAGATTGGCTCCTTTCACTGAGCAATAGCATTTAAGTTTCCTCCAGGCCCCCTCAGGCCTTGAGAGCTTTTTTCTTTTTACCAGTGAATGATATTCCGTGGTTTAGAACCACATATCTTTTAAATGCCAGATTTGACCATACCTGCGATTATTTCAAAGAATCGTATTTTGCAGGAAATCTATAATAGTGCATTTTAGTCAGTATGACTCAAATAATGTCATTTGGAAGATTAGATTTGATCAGTGTAAATAAGAGGGAGAGAGTGGTCTGTGGTGAACTTGGGTTAAATAAATTTAAACTAGCATCTTTACTTCTCAGAGAATTTACTAAATTTTCAAGAGGACTATAGACTACATAAAATTTTTCAACCATGAAATTTGTTAAGGAGAATTTTATGAACATACCAATAGATGACTGTCAATCAACGACATCATTAGAAATCCACTCTTTATTCCACTCTGAGAGAACTGAAGAAACACCAATTGTTATGGTCTGGATGTGAAGTCCCCCAAAAGCTCACATGTGAGACAATGAAAGACAGTTTGGAAGAGAAATGGTTGGGTTATAGCCTTAACCTAATCAGTAAATTAATCCCTGATGGGATAAACTGAGTGGTACCTGGAGACAGGTGGGCGTGGCTGGGGAAAGTGGTTCATTGGGGGCATGGCTATGGGGTATATACTTTGTATTTGGCCAGGGGAGACTCTCTCTCTCTCTCTCTCTCTCTCTCTCTCTCTCTCTCTCTC